ATGGGGGCTCCCTGCAGGGATTTTGGGATATTTTTGGGATAAATTTTGGGATAATTTTGGGATAAATTTTGGGATATTTTGGGGATAATTTTGGGACATTTTTGGGGATATTTTGGGATAATTTTGGGATATTTTTGGGACATTTTGGGCTCAGAGCTCGTCGTGCTCCTCGTGCACAGGTGGGGGCTCCCTGCAGGCCGCAGGTGTCTCCAGTTCCAGCAGGTACTCGCAGCGGCTCGGCTCCGTCGCCGCCGTCACCGCCGTGTCCGGGCCACACCTGAGCCGCACCTGGGGAGGGCACGGGGACACCTGAGCACACCTGGGACACACCTGAGATACCTCAGACACACCTGAGCACACCCAGACACACCTGAGATACCTCAGACACACCTGAGATACACCTGAGAGATCTCAAACACACCTGAGCACACCTGAGCACACTCAGACACACCTGGGACACATCCGAGCACACCTGAGATACCTCAGACACACCTAAGATACACCTGAGCACACTCACACACTTGGGATACACCTGAGCACACTCACACACACCTGGGATACATCTGAGCACACTCAGACACACCTCTGATACACCTGAGACATACCTGAGGTACCTCAGACACACCTGAGACACATCTACAGAGGGGATGGGGACACCTGAACACACCTGGGACACATCTGAGATACACCTGAGCACACTGAGACACACCTGAGACACACCTGAGATACCTCAAACATACCTGAGACACACCTGAGCACACTCAAGACACACCTCTGATACACCTGAGACACCTCAGTCACACTCAGACACACCTGAGCTGCACCTGGGGAGGGCATGGGGACACCTGAGCACACCTGAGATACCTCAGACACACTCAGACACACCTCTGATACACCTGAGAGACACCTGAGTGCACCTGAGCACACTCAGACACACCTGAGCCGCACCTCGGGAGGGGACAGGGGTACCTGAGACACCTGGGACACACCTGAGATATACCTGAGTGCTCAGGTGTGTCACTCAGGTGTCACACAGGTGTCACACAGGTGTCCCCCAGGTGTCTCAGGTGTGTCCCAGGTGTGTCCCAGGTGTCCCAGGTGTGTCCCAGGTGTGTCCCACAGGTGTCCCAGGTGTGTCCCAGGTGTCCCAGGTGTCCCAGGTGTGTCCCAGGTGTGTCCCAGGTGTGTCCCAGGTGTGTCCCAGGTGTGTCCCAGGTGTGTCACTCACCGTGGTGGCTCTGTTGGGTCCCTGCCAGCACCCCGTGCCCCCCTCGTATTTCTGGGCTCCGAATTTGTCACCTTCGGGTCCGGCCCAGGAGCCCCAGAGCCTGTGGGGGAGGGGCGGGTGAGAGGGGGGAGGGGCCAGGTGAGGGTGGGGGAGGGGCCAAGGGGGTCAGGTGACATTGGGGGAGGGGTCAGGTGACACCTGGGGCCCTCCCCGAGTGTCCCCAGGGTGATTTTGGGCGGTTTTTGGGGTGATTTTGGGTGATTTGGGGCTGTTTTTGGGCGGGTTTTGGGGCAGTTTTTGGGTCTGGTTTTTGGGGTGATTTTTGGCAGTTTTGGGGCGTTTTTTGGGATATTTTGGGGCTGTTTTTGGGCAGTTTTGGGGGGCTGGTTTTAGGGTTGACTTTGGGCAGTTTTTGGGGTGATTTTGGGGTGCCTGACCCCAGGTTGGTCTCGGCGCCGCCGTTTTTGGGTCTCTGGGTCACTCTCTGGAAGGGGCAGAGCCGGTACAGGTACCTGGGGGAGGGGGATGGGGGGGTCAGGGGGACCCCAAAAATNGAGATACCTCTGACACACCTGAGATACCTCCGACACACCTGAGCACACCCAGACACACCTGAGATACCTCAGACACACCTGAGCACACTGAGACACATCTGAGATACACCTGAGAGATCTCAAACACACCTGAGCACACCTGAGCACACTCAGACACACCTGGGACACATCCGAGCACACCTGAGGTACCTCAGACACACCTGAGCACACCTGAGCACACTCAGACACACCTGAGATACATCTACAGAGGGGATGGGGACACCTGAGCACACCTGGGACACATCTGAGATACACCTGAGCACACTGAGACACACCTGAGATACACCTGAGATACCTCAGACACACCTGAGCACACCCAGACACATCTGAGATACACCTGAGAGATCTCAAACACACCTGAGCACACCTGAGCACACTCAGACACACCTGAGATACACCTGAGATACCTCAGACACACCTGACATACACCTGAGCACACTCAGACACACCTGAGCACACCCAGAGACACCTGAGATACACCTGAGATACCTCAGACACACCTGACATACGCCTGAGCACACTCAGACACACCTGGGACACACCTGAGCACACTCACACACCTGAGATACACCTGAGATACATCTGAGCACACTCAGACACACCTCTGATACACCTGAGATACCTGAGATACACCTGAGATACCTCAGACACACCTGAGATACACCTAAGATACACCTGAGCACACTCAGACACACCTGAGATACCTCAGTCACACTCAGACACACCTCTTGATACACCTGAGATACTTGAGACACACCTGAGACACATCTGAGCACACTCAGACACACCTCTGATACACCTGAGACACCTCAGTCACACTCAGACACACCTGAGCCGCACCTGGGGAGGGGACAGGGATACCTGAGACACCTGGGACACACCTGAGATATACCTGAGTGCTCAGGTGTGTCACACAGGTGTCACACAGGTGTCTCAGGTGTGTCCCAGGTGTGTCCCAGGTGTGTCCCAGGTGTGTCCCAGGTGTGTCCCAGGTGTGTCCCAGGTGTGTCCCAGGTGTGTCCAGGTGTGTCACTCACCGTGGTGGCTCTGTTGGGTCCCTGCCAGCACCCCGTGCCCCCCTCGTATTTCTGGGCTCCGAATTTGTCACCTTCGGGTCCGGCCCAGGAGCCCCAGAGCCTGTGGGGGAGGGGCGGGTGAGAGGGGGGAGGGGCCAGGTGAGGGTGGGGGAGGGGCCAAGGGGGTCAGGTGACATTGGGGGAGGGGTCAGGTGACACCAGGGACCCTCCCCGAGTGTCCCCAGGGCGATTTTGGGGTGATTTTGGGGTGATTTTGGGGCGATTTTGGGGATGATTCTGAGGTGATTTTGGGGCAGTTTTTGGGGGGATTTTTGGGATGATTTGGGGCTGGTTTTGGGTGATTTTGGGGTGGTTTTTGGGGTGGTTTGGAGCTGGTTTTGGGGTAATTTTGGGGTGATTTTGGGGCGATTTTTGGATTGTTTTATGGCCGGTTTTGGGGTGATTCTTGGGATGATTTTGGGGTGAT